TAAAACTCTTGTTCTTTAAAAATTCGCATTAGTTGTTTTCTTATTTTAATTTATTTTCACTTCTCTTGTTTGTTAATTATAAAATTTTTAAAAATATAATAAATGTTATAGATATATATATTATATAACCACATCAAATGTATATTATTATTGAATTTTTTACAATATTTTTAATGTAATTTAATATTATTAAATTTTGTTTAAATAAAACTTTATTTTCTTAAAATATTATTCAACAATATATAATGACTAAATATTTTATTATTTATAATTAAAATTAAATTTCCTTAGTTGATATTATATATTATAGATATTATCTGCAAACTATTAATAAAATATAATTTATTAATTAAGTAATTTTTTGTTAGCATTGTATGGCTTATATGCTCACACTTATTTGTATGGGAGCAGAGAAAGACTAGGTTTGAGGAACTGATAAAGGCGAGTGTTGTGACCTTTTCATGGCGATACTATTGATGTGTCTTGTATAGGTATGTTTGATCGACATTAGGACGTAAGATTATTTTGGGATAACTATATATATATATATATATATATATTAGTTTGACTGTTCTATTTATATACTAATGTTATATATATATATATATATATATATGATATATATCTTTCATTAATCATGTACGTAATAATAACTTAACTTTAGTTGCTAGTAATAGTGATTTTTGTAACTATGATAGGACATTATATAAAATATCTTGGACTTCGTGTGAATATGTGTATGTATTGCATCGTGAGTCTGTGGAAGTTCACATTTTGCTTCGTTTTTTAGAAAAAATGTAATTTAATTTGAATTTTGAATTATTTAAAAAATATAAAAACTAAAAAGTAAAGTGGATGAAATTATAAGAATTAAAAAATAATATTTTAACCTTAAAAAATAACTATAAACACCAAAAATATAAACCAGATGAATTTATAGGACTCGTTTATTTCATTCTTCCAAGTTTTTTTCAACATATTTAAGATTTTAAAAAAGTATAACTACAACAACTTTAGAAATTATTTAGTGTGAGACCCCCGCAGCCACTCCCTCCTTTCTCCTTTCCTTGTTGTCCCTCTCACTCTCTTTTCTCATTCTCCCTTCTCTTTTCACTCAAAAATATTTGATACCAATTTCTTCTCCTAAGGCCAAGACTGTGAGCAAGGTGGTCCTTTTCTCGTGGAGTTAGTTGATAGCTGGGCGTTTATCTTTTCTTCGTTCGTCTTTCGTCTTCTCCTTTGCTTTCCCGGAAGCTCGGAATTTCTTCACCGAGGTAAGGGAAGCTAGTTATTTTACAGTGTTTGGCTGTAACTAAGTGCTTAAACTCATTTGTTGTTTGATGATTGCTGGCTTTTGAGCTGAGGTTGCTGAAAAATGGGAATTTTGGGGGTTTCGGAAATTTGGAAGAAATTTCGAGATTTTGATGATTTGTGATTGCATGTATGAAAAGCTGGTATTTTTGAGCTCTTTGATGAAAATAGGAACGTTTGGCTGGATTACATGTGTATTTTCTGTTAAGTTTCGCAGGTTTTGGTGAAATTTTTCGCGCCGGGCGTGAGTTGAAATGGGAAATCCCAGGGTGAATCGCGCTGGGCGCGGAGAGAACCACGCCGGGCGCAATAGACCCCTGTAGGTCTCTGGTTGAGAAGTGAGCCGGGCGCGCTTTTAATGCGCCGGGCGTGTATTTGATTTTCAGAATTGGACTTTATAGTCTTCATGAAAGTTGTAGCCTTGGATGTTAGCTTTTCAATGGCGCTGGAATCACCCAAAAAGGAGTTCTAGAACTCCAGATATGGCTGTTTTAGTGAAGAGGGGTCAAGCTGCCAGCTTTGCTTATAGCTGTTGCGGTTTTCAGAAATTTTGACAAGGTAAATGAAGGAATTAGGACTTGGTGTCTTCATGAGAGTTGTAGGAAATCTTCTTATCTTTCATATGAGATAAGGATGAGTATGGTAGGAGTGGTATAACTCCTGATGCGCGGTTTTCGGTGAAGGCTGCCATTTCACTTTTAATGATTTGGTTAAGTCGAAAGTTGTTTTAGGTGCTTAAGTGTATTGGTGTTGTTTGGGTGAGTAATTTGACAAGATAGATGAGTTGTAAACAAGATGGTTGGGTCGTATGATGCGTTGAACATATTGTACGTTGTGAAGTTGTTGATCATGCTATTTTAAGCTGTTAATGATGAATGTTATTGAGCGGAATGATGATATTGATGTGCTGCATTGAGCGTGGCCCTTGTCGCGCTGGGCGTGAGAATCCTTGGGAGTCTCTGCCTCGAGGGTGCTGGGCGCAATTTGTTGCGCTGGGCGCGAGACCAAGGGAGGTCTCTGCCTTGCCTGCGCTGGGCGCGGGTTGGGGCACGCCGGGCGTGTGAGACTCCTTGGAGTCTCTGCCTGGCCTGCGCTGGGCGCAATTGGGTATTGCGCCAGGCGCGAGAGAGCTTTGGACTCTCTGGCTAAGTCTCGCCGGGCGCAGGCACGCTTGCGCCAGGCGCGCTGGCCTTGGAGCCCTCTGGTTGTGTCACGCCGGGCACGACCATGAGTGCGCTGAGCGCGTATGAGGATGTGAAGTTATATGCTGAATTTGATGATAATATTATTTTATGCTGAACTCCGCCGAAATTGATGAATATGGTGTGATGACTAGTTAAAATTGTTGTTTGATGATGTTGAGCTGTGTTAGGTGTATATTGCTGTAAGATGCTTAGATGGGCTGTAAGACGATAGGTTGTGCTATTAAACTGAGTTGTGTTGTGTGATGCTAATGCTGAACTTTATTGTTTGACTCGAGCTGAATCATATGCTGATAGTTGTTGAATTGTGCTGTAATTGCTGAGCTGAGATGTAATTGATAAATATGTTGTGCTGACTAGATGTAAATGCTGAAAAATGATGTTAAGCTGTAATAGATGTATATCGTTGTGCTGAGCTGAGCTGTTATTGATGATTTTAAATGTTGATTTATAATATGGTTGTGCTCTAGAATGATGAGCTGAGTTGTGAGTAGTAAGCTGTGTTGAATACTACTTAGCTGTGTTGTATGCTGATTTTGCTGTGCTGTGCTGTGAGCTGTTTTTCTGTGCTGTTTATTGTTGAGCTGTATGTAGCTATATGTGATGTTAGCCACTATTGTGGTGCTGTTATAGCCGCTAGGTCTGTGCTGTCAGCCACTATTGTGGTGTTGTTATAGCCGCTATGTCGGTGTTGTTAGCCACTATTGTGGTGCTGTTATAGCCGCTGAGCGGTGTTGATATTGCTGAATTTGTTGTGGTGTAGTATAAGCTGTACGGGTGTGCTAATAGCTGTAGATGCTTTTATTTACATATTTATGTATGTATGTTGATTTTTAATTACACTAGCTTACCCTTTGTTGTTTCCATGATGTTTGAACTGCAATGATCATACTATGTATGGGAGCAGAGCAGGGATAGGTGGATGTCTAGTGGTGAGTCTTCAGCGGACCGGTGGAGCTGATCTCTTTTGTGATTATTTTTGTTGTTGAGCTACTTGGGATAGTAGCTTTTGATTGTAATTTTTGTACACTTTAACTCTGTTCAGATTGGATCATGTATATGTATATTCTAGACTCTATATGTATACAGTTGTTCTTTTCTGTGCGGTGTTTCTAGTGTGTTGTGCCGTGTGTAGTGACCAGCCGGGTCGTTACATTTAGGAAACTCTAAACCCTAAATCCTAAATCCTCTGCCTTTATAGAAGGAAAATTATGGTAACTTTTTTTTTTAAGGGAAAAAATTATGGTAACTTAATACATTTAAATCGTTGGATTTGTAATAATAGATCAGATTGTGACACGTATACACTTAAGTTAAAATATATTGTACACGTGTCACAATCTGATTTATTTTTATAAATCTAACAATTTAAATGCATTAAATTACCGTAACTTTCATATCTCAAAGTTAGAGAATCTGAATCCGATTTTTCCCCCTAATGTTTCCCAGTTTTTGAAAAGCAAGGCTATAATTATAAAAATAAAAATAAAAAAAACTTTTTGGATAATAAGTTAAAAATAATAATTTAGAAAACTAATAAAAAAAACTTCTACAAATTATTATTTTTAAGTTAAGTTTAATTTAAGAGAAAAAAAATTTTTTTTTTTTTTTTTTTAAAAGTGTTTCTAAAATAGTTTATCAAAGAGGTCTTCATTGATCAACCCTCCTTGTAAATGGAAATACTTTGCGGTCTAAAACGAATGAGATATTACTCCAAGAATAGGAACATAAGGTTACATTAACATGCACCAAGTAGTGAGCAATTGTATGCTGTAAAATTAAGGTCTTCCAAGTTTTCCAGAAAATGTATGTGACTTTTGGCATGAAATTTGAATTGCAAGACCCTGCAATATTTTTCTAAATTTAACAATAATGGAAGTCTAAGGAGATTCAATTCAAGAATCAAATCTCCATTTTGAAAGAGATGCGGTTAAACCACTATTGCCACAACTGCTATAAAAGAGTAGCAAAGGTGCCATATAAATAACAAGCAAATCAAAACACACTCAAATATTCAACACATACGTGTTTGGAAAAGCATGTTGTCTCAGACATAAGCAATAGAAGAGTTGTTCAATATATTTCAAGGGAAAGATGACAAACTAGTAGAGTTCATTTAAATCAATAATTATACCAAGTGGTTCATGAGGCAACACCTAGTAGATGAGAACATCTATGTAATTTTGCAAGAAACTTTGTGCAGGAATCAGAGAACTACTAGCTTCACCATCTTCACCAAGTCAAATACTCCCTTTTAAAAAAAAAAAAAAAAAAAAAAAAAAAAAAAAA